CTTCCTGTTGAGTGTGTTCCATTTGTAAATTGAGTCCCCCGCTGCTGTGGGAAAACACACCTTGGTTTAAGAACACTTCACTTGGTTTAAGAATGGACTTCCGGAATGGTTTAAGTTCAAATAGTATCTGCCACAGCATCCAGCAAGGCAGCTGATAGACTGGTTCTTGGCATCCTTGTGTGCAAAAGAGGGGGGAATTATAATAAGCACCATGGTTGTTCACACAATCACAGCGGGGCGGGGGGGTGTAGTCCTAATCCCCTTCAGGGAGCCCCCAAGAGTGCTAGTTGGGGCCACCACAGTCACAAGGAGCAGACACAGCTGCCTCCAAGACACAAGGTGAGCAAGTGATCTTCTGAAGCTGGTCAGGCAGCTTCCACAGATGCTCCAGTGGCACAGAACCATCACCTCCATTCTCTGTGCAAACCTCTGCTACCTCAGCCACAGGTAAGTCCCTGGCTCTGTTTTGGCTACTGCACACATCCTCCACAGGAGCTGAGAGTTCTGGACTTGTGCAGAGGGGGGTGGAAAGGGTGGAGAATGGTTCAGACCACTTGCTTCAGCATCCACACCCACAGATCTATCACAACTGTAAAGTTATGTCCTACTGTGCATAACAAACTGTTTCACAGGGCACAATTGCTGCAAAGATCTTCTCTAAAGTTCTGTCTGGAGTTTCCTTGAAGCCCATGCTTGAATGGACAAGCTCCCAGCCTCACTTTCTGATGGAGGAGCCCCCTCACTTTCCATAGCACACAAACACTGTGGCTGCATACACCATACGCTCCAACATTTCTCTGATGAAAATAGACAACCTATTCAATAATTAATAGTAGTAGTATTTATACCCCACCCATGTGACTGGGTTTCCCCAGCCATTCTGGGCATTTTGGCAAATTAAAAAAATCCACCCGGACTAAAAGCCTCTGAAAAAGAGGAGCTGTACGGGAGATACCACGTATGGCAACTTCCAGTGTGGAAGCCCAGTGCATTGTTGCTCTCAGTTGCATTCACATACCACTTTCTTCTGTGCTCCTTGACCAGGCTCCAACCACAGCAAGGATCATCTCATGACCACCCACATGACCACCTTCTCAACATGCCAGATCAACTCACGCTTGCGTTTGTCTGGCGGGACCCTTTTCACCTGCCATCAACCATTCCACCAGGCTCCCTCAGTGGGAGAGGTGGGAAGCAGGGCTCCTTCCACCAGCTCTGCTGAAAGGCCAGCTGCTTCAGGCACCTTCTGCCCCTGAGCTGGTTATAGTCCAGGTGCTCATTATCAGAACCACTATCTAAGAACTGGTGCCTGTGTTTGTGTTTTCCTTCTCCCTCCTTGCCCCTTTTCCCTTGCGTGTTGTTTTTGTAAGATGGCAAGCCTGAGGGCAGAGACTGCCTTGTTTTAATTGTATGTAAGTCACTCTGGAAGTCTTTTTGGAAGAAGATTAGGGTATAAATGCTCAAAATAAATTTTAAAGATGCAGTGTGTGGACATATTATTTTATTCCGAAATGCAAGATGCACTAGGCTGAAACCTATTTTTCAAGTTTGTTAGTATAGCAGTCTGATAGTATTTAAAATTAAAAATAGAAGAGACAGCTAACCCTCCTTTTACAACTTTCTCCAGGAGACTTTGTACAATGAAATATGCTAATATCTCTGCTAATTTCTCATACAAAGTATGGGGAACGCTGGGCTCTGCAGATGTCGATCTACAACTCTGTGAACTGCCCCAAGACTTGCAGTTATAGGGCGGTATACAAATATAATAAATAATAATAGTAAAATAACTCCCATCAACCCCAGTAAGCATGGCCAGGGATTATGGGAGTTGTAGTTCAGCAACATAGAGAGAGCAAGAGAGCCAAATGTTTCCCAAACCTGAATTATACCAATGATCTCTCAATTTTGGCATATAAGGTGTATATTTTGGCATATAAGGTGTATATAAATTAATAAAGATTCATGTGCCTGGCCTTTTCAATATGTCCTACTAGTGAGCAGGTCACCCACGGTCCACAGCTAAAGTACTTTCAGTTTTGGGACAAAGGAGTTACCAATAAGCATACGGACATTATTCTGCTAGATTATGACAATGGGGGGGGGGAGCTTCTGGATGAGGGCAGCATAACTGAAAAATAAGACACCTTGATCAAGTGGAGCTATTTCTTTCACTATTTCTTCACAAACATTTTCTAGTACTTTAACTGAATTTTACATTATCATCACTGTGCTACAAATGGGGGCTTGAGGCTCTATTAAAACAATTTTTTAAAAAATGTAACTGCACACCTGAAGATATAAGATTCAAAGCAACTGAACAAGTTTATGCATCTATTGATAAAGGAAAAAGTATATAGGCTCCATTTTCCCAAAGAGAAGCATTTTGGATTTTTTAAACTTTGTAGACAGTTATCCCTAATGGGATGAATGGAAAATGTGATTTATTTGCCTATTTGTAATGAGGTTTATTTGATGTAACATCTACTTTCACATACTTAATTACAAACACATGTAGAAAAGTGGCTACTTCTTTAAAATGCTTTATTGATTGTCTTATTCACAGAGCAGCTGTTAAGGCTGGCATAAATTAATTTAGTTTGAAGTTGCAATCATTCTTTCCTCCAGTTAATATTGTGAAAAGCAGGTGATATAAAGGAAAAATATTGAGCTGGGCTGGTCATTGCTGAAATCTGTTTAGCACTCAGATGGTAAGTGCTAATGGATTATAGTTATGTTGTAGCTTGGTATTAAATGGAAATAATGCGTTATAGGAATTATTTTTTGGAGACGGAAGTTGTAGCAGGAGGAATTACCGTACATTAGTTAAATGCAACTTGCGGACTTGAAAAATATATTGTACTGAACTGGAACTCTGTTGTTCAGGACTATTTCACACTTCTTTGCAATATCTATGAAGTAAGTTGTATATTTTATACGATATTAGTCTATCTTACTGTAACAACTGTACCGTATATGCCAGGGGTCTGCAACCTTTAAGACAAAAAGAGCCACTTGGACCCGTTTCCGAAGGGAAAAAAAACTGGGAGCCGCAAAACCATTGCGACATTTAAAACAAATATATCTCCGGAGCCGCGATCTGACAGCGGGTGGGAAGGTGACGTCGGGACGGTGCGTGACTAACACATGCACCGCCCCCCATGAGACGTCACAGCCAGTGCAGCGCCCGCCACAGTGGGGAGTGTCGGGGCGCACAATGCGCCTCCTCCCCTCGCTAGTATCCGCCCTGGAGCCGCGGCAAAGGTGTAAAAGAGCCACATGCGGCTCCGGAGCCGCAGGTTGCAGACCCCTGGTATATGCTTATCACGTTTGAGAGTGACAGCACCACAGAATATGTATTAGAGTCCTGTTTGTGTTGGGTTTGTTTGATCATAGATCTGATCTTGTTGTGGGCATCACACATGCCAACCCTTGCTGCTTTTGGTATAACCTACCTGGGAGGGCTGTTATGGTTAAAAACAGGTGAGACACGTATGCCGCTTTGGCTCCATGATGGAAGGGTGGACAACAAATGAGATGTCTTCAGGCCCTGAATCTTTTAAAGAGCTAGCAACACTCTTGTACTGTCTCTCAATGACAGAATAAGAAGTGCCTGGCTGTCAGATCAGCGAAAGTCCCAACTAGTACAGCACCGCATGTACAAACCAGATGCCTATGGCGAGTTTGCAGTGGATTAGAAGAACTAGCTGCAGTCTGAACCGAGCAGGCGGTAACTACTTTTAGAATCAGTCCGTCTGCTGACAGCCACTTCAATGGGGACCAACGCTGAATTTAGCGTGGTGCAGGTGGTTCCTTGGCATAGGGTGACAAGCCAAGGGGTCACAAAATGGAGAAAATCCGTAATTGAGAAGATTCATTTGAAGAAACCAAATTTTGGCCTCACACAGAGGGCCATATTATGACACATAGGAGATAACTCCAAGGGGCCGAGGTCCCTTTGCTCCCCCTAAAATATTTGAGCAGGCTGAGCCCCCCAAAGTTGATGGGCTTTGACATTTAAATGGGGGGTGGCGGCGTGGCATGTGATAAATTATGTGAGGTTCAAGCTGGTCTTTGACCGTAATAAATTATGATGATGTGAGGTGGGGTCTACCTGCCCCCCCTCAATATTTTATTCAGGCTGACACCCCTGCTATGAAAGATTACTAAAGTCTGCCCCTGTGGTGATGTGTCATAACATTGTGCAGGCCCAGTTTGAGGGCACCTTCACCCGACTGGGTCTTGTGGGCTTGCCTGCGCTTTCTCTTCCTTCTCCGCCTGTTGCTGCCTCCTCCCTGTGCCAGGCGCTGGCGGGGGAGAGATGTGCCGGTTGCACCCCAATTTCTGACGGGGGCCAATGCTGCTTGTTCCTCCCTCTGCTTTTCAACACTGCAATATATCACTACCGTATCACAACATCACTATCACAATGTTGAAAAGTTGGTATCGTCTGCTTTTAGGGGCTGAGGGGCTTACTCAGTAGGGACAGGGGCACTCCTAGGAATTTATTGGGTTTCAAATCCCATTGAGGAGGGGCAGGGGCGGACTTTGGTAATACGGCCCCCACCCTGAGTGAGGACAAAATTTGGTGGCTCCCCCAATAGAATAAATAGGCATCGTTATCATTATTTTGTGCTTCCTTGGCCCCGGGCGGGCGAGGCGCCCGCACGGCTCCAAATCTGGCGCTGGTGGAGGAAGCGAATTTCCCCGACGGGCCGAGCTGCCCCTGTGGATCCTGCTGCCAGTGGCGTAGCGTGGGTTGTCAGCACCCGGGGCAAGGCAAGTAATTTGCGCCTCCTAACCCATGGATTTGCGCCCCCTAACCTGTGGATTTGCGCCCCCTAACCCATGGATTTGCCCTAACCCCAGATGTTGCGCCCGGTGCGGCCGGCCCCCCCTGCACCCCCCACGCTACGCCGCTGCGTGGCCAGCAGGGGCTGAGGGGCTCCCGTCCACTTGCCGGCAGCCGTCGGGGCAGGCGGGCTCCGGGTCTCGGCGGGGCCGGCCGGCAGAGGGCGGCGCTGCGCCTCGCCTGGGCGTGGAAGCCCTGCTGGCACGTTGTTTCCCACGCCGCGCGTCCGCGCCGCGCTCCCGCCTCCACCTCGGCTCGCTCCCTCCTGTCCTCCGCCTCCGCGCCCGCCTCGCCTGCCAGACTCGCATCCCTGCCCGGCGGCGGCGGCGGCGGCGGCGGCGCAGCGGAGGCCGAGCATGGCGCCAGCAGCAGCGGCTGCCGGGGCGCGCGGAGGAGCGTCCGGCCGGGCAGCCCCGCTCCGCCTGCTGCTGCTGCTCGCGCTGGGCGCCTCCTGGGCGGCGCGCCCGCCGGACCGGAGCGGGCGCCAGAGACGCGGCAGCCCGCGGGACGAGGCGGGCGGCCTGCGGGGTCGCGCCGGCGGGGCAGCTCCGGAGGCGGCCTCGCTGCTCACCACCTCCTTCGTGCTGAAAGGCGACGCGGCGCACAACCAGGCGATGGTGCACTGGACGGGCGAGAACAGCAGCGTAAGTGCGGCTCCCTCGCCCTGCAAAAGAAAAGAGGGGGGGGGGGTTCTTTGGGGGTGCAGTCACGTGTCAGACTGGGGAGGCGGCAGGGGGGAACCCGACCCCGGGGCACGTCCTGGGCATGTCTGGGTGCCCGGCTCTGGCAGCGGAAGAGTTAACCCGAGGGCGACGGGTTGCCGATTCAGACTTCTTCCGAGGCTCCCCCCCCCCGCCGCCGCCGCCGCCGCCGCCACCAGCTGAGCGAGTAGCTGCTCGGCAAGGAGCCCCCTTCGCCCATCTGTCGGGCGGAAAGCGGGACGCGCCAGAAAGGGCTTCGCCTCCGAGGCTCCGCGCCGCCTCTCGCCTTCCGACGCGCGCCTTGGCTTCGGGATTGGACGGGGATTCCTCGGAATCCTGCGCGGCGCCGGCTGGAAACACCGGGAGACCCAGACTAGGTTGCGGCGAAACAATGGGAGACGCCCCCGCTCTCTTCTCCCACGCAGTATTTTGGGACTGTCAAACTACCCTCTCGCGGAAATGTATTGTCTCTGTAAATGCCCCTGGCAATTAATCTGATCGTGATTTACCGTTTTTCAGATTTTTTTGTTAACTTTGCTGCATGCAATGCAGCAGACCTCCTTTGCAATGTCTTATTTTGAAATGTATAATATTTTAGTTTCCCGTTAATTTTTATGTATACTTTATATCTGACTTTCTTTGGTATTGTTTTATTTTGGATTGTTTTATTTGGTGTTTTAATGTAGGCTGTAAACGACATTGAGATTTTTTCCTTAACAATATAAAGCAGTATAGAAATTAGATTAATGGTGATCCTTCCAGATTGTAGTTAGAGGCTTCCATCTAGCCTTCCACATGGTCATAGAAAAACGATGCATGATCCGCCAGAGAGCTTAATGCTTGCCACAACACCTGTCCTCCACATCTCCTTAGGAATGCCATTTCCTTCCCCCGGTGCCTTGGGAGTTGTTTCAGAGGCATGGGAGGAACACATTGTCACACACATGGGAAAGGTGTCTTGCTGGTCACACACAAAGTTGCCCTGGGCAGGGCGGCCACTGGTGGTTGAGGGAAGCTAGTGCTTTGCTGTGGTTATTGGGAGCGAGTGAAGTTGAGGTTGTGAGCACCAGTGCGGCTGCAAGATGCTTGAGTGGTAGATGTGCTTGGGTCCCTCTTGGGCCCAGTGAATGGTCTGGAGAACACATTGCTGGATCATGACTTGGGCATGTAATCCCCATGTAAGCTGGATGGTGGATATTTAAATTGAAACACCCCCCAGACAATTTGCTTCCTTTGGCAGAGCAGCAAATGGCTCCTTCTCCCAACCAAGACCAGCGGATTTGGGGTTTCATGAAAAGGCTGCAAATTGCCAGTTGTTTAATTCCTTATTGCATTTTTGTTGCCAGGGAGAAGCACTTGTATGGTTTTCTGCCTCATGTGCGAAAATAATTTGGGTTACCTTGACTTGGCTTGGTGGGGCGTGGGGCAAGGGGGTATCATTTTTTGTTCTGTATTAGCAAAAGTGAAGCTCTGCTTCCAGCCAAGAAAAGGTGCTTAGTCACAAAATTATGTTTGTACCTGAGTGGGAAATCCCATGAAAACCCTTGTTTTTTTCTTCCCTGGCTGTAAAAATGACAATGCTGTCTTTTTGTGACAGCCAACGCCACCTGCCCAAGGTGGATGCACCTCTCTACCTAATGCTATGGCTAGCTCTGACACACATGTGCACTTACACGCATACTTAGAAACACAACATCCATTGCCTTTTTGAAAGCCATTTCTTACACTCTGAGGTAGCAAGAATACATAATGTACTACAAATCTAATAGTTTGTGTATGCAAATGCTATGGCCCCCTCACCACTTCCTGTGATTCCCACTGAGTCCCGTGACTTCTCATAGGGTTCTGGATGTTTCTTATAGTTGATTGGAGGACTGTGGTCAACACATCTCAGTGCATACAGAAGGAGAATGGTGGAGCAGAGCGCTTGCAAATTTCAAGGTTTTCCCAAGTTCTTGGTGGTGGGAGGAATGCATTGCGTTTCCCAAAACAAAAAAAATTCCTTCCAGTAGCACCTTAAAGACCAACTAAGTTAGTTCTTGGTATGAGCTTTCGTGTGCATGCACACTTCTTCAGATACACTGAAACAGAAGTTTTTCCCAGTGTTTCCCAGTGACTCTATGATAGTATTATTAGATAACCCACAACCTCTCTGGCAATTTCTGTGGGGGTTGAGGATTTGATGATGGTAGAAAACTCACTTAAGATACTCCTTAAAACTGTATTTCCTCTCCCTTTCTGCGTCCAACTGAGTGGCAATGTATTTCTAAAGGGATGGTCTAGTGGTGGGGCTCAAGGCAATATAGCAATCCCAAGTGCTTTGAGGTAGGTCAACTGCAATTCTATAACTATTGGAAAGAACATTTGTAGATCTTGAAACCAAGGCCAACATTGTCCATTTGGATCGATTAAGTGTATTCATTCACCTCCACATGGTTCCATCCTTATTTCAGACATCTTGCTATATCAATATATCTCCCAGCCCTCTTCTGCTTGACTGTTTGGTGCCACCCTTTTTCATAATCTTCCACCATAGAAGATATAAGTTCAGAAGTGATTGGAGCATCAGATCTCCTTAACCAGTTTTCTGCTGGTGTGGGCAGAAAGCAGTGAAAGGGGGGTCACACACACACAATGCTCTTTTCTCAACAGCACTAGCATTGCATTTGGGGACTGCTCTCAATGAGTGGATTCTTCAGGACTTACTTGAAGATTCCTCCTATGCCCACATGGGGGATTGGTGGTTCTTGGAGACTAAGAATATGTTTGAACCATTGCCTCATGCTTGCCTTTTGTTTGTTCCTCTTCGTTTCCATACTATTCAGGAGATACTGATTTTTAAATCACCAAGGAAATGATGATTTTTAATTAAATTAATTTTCCCGTTTTGTACACAATGTATTTCCTTCGCAGATCTGCACACTGATAATCACACATCAATTAAAGCATAGTTGTTGCAAATAAATAAAGTCTTTGTACTACCTAGGTCATGCAGCCAACAAGCCATTTGCCCTCTCACAGAATGATGTCTGCTTACAGACAATAAGGACAAATCGTGGAATTGCTGGATTTTTCTTTGACATTATCTGAACATATGGAAGAACACTAAGGGCAAGCTAGTGTATTTAAATGCAGACTTAACCCAATCACAGGGCTAGGGCTGTGTAGGTGAAGATGAAGAATCACCATTCCTACCACACATGCCCCTGTTGTACTTCAAATTACACCCCCTCTTCCTGCTTTATTTGTGATTGGGGAAATTCAACATTTACTGTCACAAGTAGTTTGACCCTAAGCAGGATTATACCAGGTGTTTCTCACATATCCTTGGGCAGGGCCGGATTTAAGTTTGATGAGGCCCTAAGCTACTGAGGGTGATGGGGCCCTTTATATGTCCAGCTGTCCTTTGTCAACAACAAATTGTTGCTGTTTTTTTTGTGTTGAATATATGCTATATGGTAACCCTAATAGGTATCTAAAGCCTGTTGCTTTAGATTTTAGGTTTTATTTTATTTGTTTTTTATGTTATATTTTGGAAATGTACACCCAGTTTTTCCCCTTTAATTTTTTTGGGGGGACCCCCGAGAGAGTGGGGCCCTAAGCTACAGCTTGTTTAACTTATACGTAAATTCGGCACTGTCCGAGGGCATTCCTTGGGAAAACAACAGATGCATCCTCAAGGATTAGCCTTGCCTCCCTTTCCTAAAATCCCAGGTTGTGTTTTTTCTTTTATTTTCAAAATTCAGACATTTTGTTGTGATCCACCCTCACCCCAATGTAGCCAGCTTACAAAAATGCTCTGGGAATATCCTTTGGTGGTATCCAGCCTTACAAGCAATTTAAGGAGCTGAAATGATGTTATACATCTGTGCCAGCAGCTTCTTCATTACCTTCAGTTTCTGCTTCATCTTTGTGTGATGGAAGATTCAAAGGGATAGAAGAGGTGGTGCAATAAAATATTTATCTGACACATAGGCACATATGCATTAACCTTTCCACTCCTGTTAGTGCTTGCTGGCAATATGCTGTGAAACCGCAGAATTTGCTGATGGCAGAGAAGTGGCAGAACCACCACCGATTTTGGGCAGGATCACACCAAAGTCAGCACCGATGGCAGACTGGGACATTGCCAAGCATGAACTCCAGGTGCTGCTTAGAATGACAGAATCATATAATTTAAAATACAAAATAGAAATCTAAAATGAAATGTTGTTGTTATTTAGTTGTTTAGTCATGTCCGACTCTTTGTGACCCCCTGGACCAGAGCACGCCAGGCACTCCTGTCTTCCACTGCCTCCCGCAGTTTGGTCAAACTCATGCTGGTAGCTTCGAGAACACTATCCAACCATCTCATCCTCTGTCGTCCCCTTCTCCTTGTGCCCTCCATCTTTCCCAACATCAGGGTCTTTTCCAGGGAGTCTTCTCTTCTCATGAGGTGGCCAAAGTCTTGGAGCCTCAGCTTCAGGATCTGTCCTTCCAGTGAGCACTCAGGGCTGATTTCCTTCAGAATGGAGAGGTTTGATCTTCTTGCAGTCCATGAGACTCTCAAGAGTCTCAAAAGCATCAATTCTTCGGCGATCAGCCTTCTTTATGGTCCAGCTCTCATTTCCATACATCACTACTGGGAAAACCATGGCTTTAACTATACGGACCTTTGTTGGCAAGGTGATGTCTCTGCTTTTTAAGATGCTGTCTAGGTTTGTCATTGCTTTTCTCCCAAGAAGCAGGCGTCTTTTAATTTCGTGACTGCTGTCACCATCTGCAGTGATCATGGAGCCCAAGAAAGTATAATAATAATAATAATAATAATAATAATAATAATAATAATAAATAATTAATAATAATAATTTATTATTTATACCCCGCCCATCTGGCTGGGTTTCCCCAGCCACTCTGGGTGGCTTCCAACTGAATATTAAAAACAGTACAGCATCAGACATTAA